AAAAGCTATATATGACAAACCCACAGCAAGCATCACCCTCAATGGTGAAAAATTGAAAGCATTTCCCCTGAAATCAGGAACAAGACAAGGGTGCCCACTCTCACCACTCCTATTCAACATAGTTTTGGAAGTTTTGGCCACAGCAATCAGGGCAAAGCTATTTTTATAACCCTATATTTATATATTCTCTCTTACTGTTACTGAAATATAAGAAAACTAATAAAGAAATTTATTACGATAAAGAGAGACTTCAGGTTGACCACATTTTAGACAGCTTTCCTCCCCCACCCCCCCAGGTACCTCAGACCTCCCTTTTCTCAGAGCATTTACTTTAAAAAACTTGCAGTTGTAAAACTTTTCTTCACCCTTTGAGATGTACATTTTCTCCCAGCCTCTATTCAGTTTCACAACACAAGGGTGCCTTTCTTAAGGGAGTCATCACTTTGAAATATAGTAAAAAAGTAAGAAAGATTCCCAATTCCCAGTCTCCCTTAAGCAGGAAGGAGCCTAACTTTGATAAGCTTCAGTTGGCAAACAGATGACCTTATCATACCCTCCAACTTCTGTGCTAACGTCCTCTAGAACTTTCCCACTAGCTCACCCATCCTGCCTTGAGTTTTAGGGGATAGGGCTCAGTCTCTCTCCATTACTGCAAGTCTTGAGTAAAGACTTACTTTGCTGTCTAACAACATCCAGTGCAATTTTTTTAATATCATTTCTTACTTCTTTTACTTTATATTACAGTACAAGCTCTTAAATTACCAAGAAAACCTTAAAAATTCAGAAACTTTTAACATGTAATATCAGAAATCTCTTCAGCCCCAGGATATATAGACAATCAATTGCTGCTTAATTAGATTTATAATTGCTAATGACTCTCTCATTTTATATAGCAGTCAATATTGATTTGTCATTTTAACTTATCTCTGTAGTCCCAGGTTGCCGTTAGTAGCCCCACCAATAATCTGTTTCTACAAGCTCAATATTTGTATCAGCCTCACTTCCTAATTCAAATAAAAACATGTAAGATGAAAATAATGGGACTTTTTTTGAAAAAGTGAACAGTTATTAATATTATTCTCTCCAAGTGTTAGTTTTCTGATCTGTAAATGCTGTCTCAAAATTTGCTAGATTGAAACAATTTCCTAGTAAATTCTTCATGTTATCTTAAAAATATAATATGAATATCCAATTAAAAGTCCTGGTTATTCAAAAACAAAATTGATTCATTTTACCAAAAAGATATATATTCACCATGTCCTTATTTTCAGGTAACATAAATTAAATCATTTTTAATTTTCTCTAGACTTGATCATAATTTTCTTAAAAGAAAAAAATGGCCAGAATGAAAATTACTTAAATTAAAATAATTTCTTCCCCAAGTATAAATCCTAACAGTACTGTTAATGAATTTGAATAACTTTCACATCACTATAAGGCAAAGGCAACCATAAGTTTACATTAAATCATAATACAATGACATTAACAATTTTATGGGGGGAGCAATTAAATTTCAATATGTAAGGGAATGCTTTGGGAAGTTGAAATCTCTTTTATAACCTCATTGTATTAAAATTTAGCTATCAAATTGAAGCACATATTCAGAGCCAGGGCTTCCTTAAACTACACTAGAAAATTTTTTAATTTTGAATGGATTATATAGCCACACTTTTACAAATTTTTCTCATGAGACTTTATTTTTCTAACTTGAAAATAATTTATCTCAAATATGTAATAATGACTAAAACATTTACTAGTTTCATACAAACACAACAAAAAAATAAAACAAGTACCTTATATCCTGCCTCTCATAATGCATGCCACTTCTATCAGGCTTCCCAGGTGGTACAGTGGTAAATAATACATCTGCCAATGCAGGAGACACGGGTTTGATCCCTGGGTTGGGACGGTCCTCTGGAGGAGGAAATGGTAACATACTCCAGTATTCTTGGCTGGGAAATTCCAGAGATAGAGGAATCTGGCAGGCTACAGTCCATGGGGTCTCAAAGAGTCGGACAAGACTGAGCAACTGAGCACGCATGCACCATTTCTATCAGTTCGTCTTAACTTCCTCTCATTTCTCACAATTTAGGCACAATATGTTCACCAGTCCTTCTTAATATTCCTCATATCTTGGCTTTAGCTATTGGCAGACTATATGACTTAAAGTCACAGCTATCAGACACTATGATTTGAATTTTCTGAGTTTGGAAATACTAAATATCTGCCAATAGGTGATTTGTTCAAGTTCCATTTAAGCAAAATCCTTAGTCACTAAGGATTGATATATTAAAATAAGCTTTCAATTAAAACAGGTCTATCAGATTGTTCCTGGAACCTAAAATTCTCTAACATTGAGGTATTGTCCAGGAAAGAATCTAAGAACCAAATAAAAATGTCAGTCTCTCTAGTAGGAAAAACAAAAGAGTGAATGTGACTATTGATTTTTTTTAACAAAGTAAACATTTGTTCTAGTAAAATTGTAGTCTTTTCCCCCCTCAAACTATAACTTGCATTTTCAAAACAATTTAGATGCAGTGTTGGGGCTGTTTAGTTGCTAAGTCATGTCTGACTCTTTGTGACCCTGAAATATTAATGAATACAGTGACATCAACTGTTAATAATGTCACTTATTAATATTAAAAATTCACATTAAATTAAAATTTCATTCAAACTTACTATGCATCCTTAATATTTGCATTAAGGAATACTTTTTCACATTCAGCTCATTTAAATAGTAATAGTTTATTTCTCAGAAATTTGCTTTCTATAAAAGTACATGGATGCCTGAAAAACATTCTCCTTTCCAAAATATTTATATTGAAATTGCTACTTTATTATTTTCTATAACTAAAATAGCACAAAATATTGCAAAGTATAAAGGCAAAATTCTGCCTACTAAATTCATTCCCACAGCTCTTCAGTATCAAATAAGTTTTAAAATTCAAATTTTAATATAAAATATTTGATTCTGTAGCTGTGCTACCAATAATTTATTGGCTGCATAAATCATGTACAGAGATGAAATTGTAAATTAATGAAAAGAATCCAGGTCATTAGTAGGGGACAAGAAGAATGTAGGATGAATAAAGACTGTGGTGATGATGAGGCATAGGCATATCTACAGGTTCAATGATTTTTTCCTTTTAAATAAAATTACAAATGATTCAAGAGTAATAAAAATTTAGCAAGCTTCTTGGTCCATTGCTAATTCTATGCATAAATTGAGAAATGAGTAGCCATATTACTAAAACTCATGGTCATCCTTTAATTACATTGGACATACATTTTTATTTTCCTCCATCTAATACGGAAAATTGCTTTGGCTAAAACTGTCCTTTTTTTTTTCCTGTTTTAAAAATATAGCTCCAGTATTTTAATCTATAATCTCCTAAAGTATTGAATTATGTGGTTTGACTTTACACTGCATGAAGATTGAGTATTTCTTTTTGTCCCTTTTAAATTAACCTTCCATTAGTTTTGAGTGGTCTCTCCTTCTTGTATTATGGAATAGTGTATAAAAGAGGATCTTATCAATTTTTACTACACCCTTAAAAATCTTAAATAACTCAATTATATTCACTCCATCTCTTCACATTTCCAGGCTAAATAATCTTAGCTTCCATACTTTCCTTTTGTGTATGCATAAGTTTCATTCTCCTTTAACCATTTTATGTGTCCTTTTAAGAACTCTTTCATCCTTATCTTCCCCCAGGGAATATATTCTAACTTAAGACATTGCTTCACTTTGTAAGATTCTATATATAATTATAACATACATTAGTGCTATTAATTTGCATTTATATACCATTTCATTTATGCAAAGTGCTTTTCAGTTTATCTTTATAATATTTCTGGGAACTTATTAGCATATGTTTTTGGAAAGAGAAAGTACAAAGAGGTTGAAACTAACCCCAAATCACTAGAAGTGCATCTAAATCATCTTTTTAAAACAACAAAAACTGATCCTTTTTATTTAAATAATCTATTTAACATGCTAATTTGATTGACAGGAACATACAAAAAGTCCTTGCTAATTTTCTAGCAATAGAAAGAACAGTGAACAAAATGATAATTTTGATATATTCTTTTCAAACTAGTAAAGCAGTTTTATAATGTGCATGAGTGACTTAAAAAAAGTAAAACTTTGCCACTTACTTTGAGTTTAAAATAATTTTGTTCAAAGAATAATTAATTTCTGATATTTTGAAAACTAAAAGTAATTGCAATCAAAATTAATTGAGGTGACAAATCTGGGAAATACCCATTAGGGCTATAGATGTCAGTTTGATATCAACAAATGCCTCCTTTCCATTTTTACCTATGTTAAAGCTAACTGTTCTAATATTTTTGAGTTATGCAACCCTGTTTTGGAGTCATAGATTGGTGGAAATTTATCATCCTAATTCCTGGACTTTCTTTTCCTCACATTAGGTGTAATGTCTGACATTGTTTCAGTGCTATGTGCAGCTTGATTGGTGAAATGAAGAAAGTCCCAAATGGCCTAACCAAAAGCTTAATGTTTTCTCTCTGTTCCTGCACATAAGGTCCCCTTAGCCAAACAAACCTCCTTATCAAATGGACCAAGTGAAATTACTACATATCATTAAGTAGCAAATTTCAGTTTCAGGCCAGCCCACAAAGTGATTCAAACAAGCCCATCACATCCTCTGGGAAATCAGTGCCTGCCTTACGTACCTGGTGTTCATTTGCCTTCCACAGTGCCTGGTTTTTCATTCTGTCCCAGACTGCAGACCTTGTGTGGCCCTGGGTCAAGCAGTGTCCTCCCCTGAACTGTGAGTATTCATGACTCATGAATTACTGTCTATCTTATCTGTCCAGTCCCCAGGATCATACATCTAAATAATGAAAGTGTTAGTCACTCAGTCGTGCACCACTCTTTGCGACCCCACGGACTGTAGCCTGCCAGGCTCCTCTGTCAGCCAGCCTGCAATTCCAGGGTGAGCATCCCTGTGAAAGCAATGAAAATTCTTACATAACTGGATACATTGCCCACCAATGAGGGCAAACACAGAGAGCATTTCAGTTGTTAAAATGCTCATGTTCCACATTGATTATTTTAAAAATTGTAAAGATATGGGCATTTACAAATACATATGAAGGTTTTAAGAGAGAAGGTTTTTCACTCTAATGTTCCCTAGCCAGTAGTGTTTGAAAATCATTTTTTAAAATGCTAAAGCCAAATTCTTAAGGTATCAACTGGTTTTTCTAGGGCAAGCACAATTCTGCATTTTTAAGAACCTTAGTGAAATATGGTTAATTTCAGTTCGTCATGCAGAAGTATCACAAGGAGTTAGCAAAAAATATATCAGAGAAAAGAAAGGCCTATTAATAAACACTAAATTTATTGAGAAGAATCTCTGTGACAATAGAAATGCTAAGACATTATCTCACTTAATCTTCATGATATGTCTAAGTGATAGATGCTATTTTCTCATTTAAAATATAAAGAATATGGTTCTGAGAAATAGAATGCAACCTTTTCAAAATGTATACAGCTGGTTAATATCAGTATCCTTTTTGGTAAGTTAAAAAAATCCACATTTATTTTTAATTATTATAGACAGCAAAAACAACACAAGAAAAGAAAGAGAGAGAGAAGAAGAAGGAAAGAAGGAAAAACACAAACTGGGGGAAATCAGTTTCTTTACTTTTTAAAAATCATAAATAATTAAAACTGTGAAATTAGAGTAACTCTGTTACTCACTTTAAAAATTAATTCTTAGTTTCTTTTTCAATAAAATTACTGTGGAGACTAGTGGTCCTCCTTACCTCTTACTGTTGAAAAGTATATAAAAATTGCTACAGAAAGAAGGTAGATTTAAAACTCAAAATGAGATTAACCACAATAAAGTACCAGAACCATTAACTACAAAAGTCATTGAAAATGTCCAGAAGTCTCTTTTAAAACTCTTCATCATGCTTCTCTTCCTCTTTTAGTTGTAATTGCTTTTCCTTAAATATGAGCATCCAAGATAAAAGTAAAACTCTAGTTTATAGTCAGATTTTCAGTTTTATTTGTTTCTTATTTAAAAATAGGTTGTTCTTCTCTTTTAATGTTCAATATTTTACTGATGATACGGAATCTGTCACCTTTTATGGAGTAGCCTAGAAAGGTTTAGAAACATTAATCTATATAAAATTATTTACATGGAAAATGCATTCCTAATTCTAAATAATGGACTGACAATATTATTATTACAAGAAAAGGGAGACAGTGGTGCTTTATTTAGAAAAAAAAATTCAAGTTTAACATTTTTTTTTCTTTTTATAAGAGAAAAGCACAATGTTCTTTTCAAATTCTTCACAATCCTTGACTACTTTTTAGGTAATACTTCTGTGTGTTGAAATGTTCAATGGAGATAATATTATATATATCACTGGTCTTGAGTCATATTTACATATCATGTATAATTACTAGTGAATAAGTACATTGTGACTTAAGCAAGATTGATCAATCTCTTCACCCACCAAGCTGCAAATCTTCATTCACTTCACTTGGCTATAGAGGGAATAAATATAACTTCGTTGTCAAAGTGGAGAATAAAAGTAATTATTAATGCTTTCTGCTATTATTTACCTTAAAAATCTGAAGTTTAGAAAATCCCGTGTATCTCAAAATTTATATGACTTTTAAGGAAAGTTTTCTTTATTTTCTTTGAGACAGAAACTACCTACATAACAAGTATAGGGCAGCGATGGGTCTTTTTGTAACTGTTACTATTGTCTGGTTTCTCCAATAAAACCTGACCTGGGGACTTGTTAAATGGAAGAATCAGTCTCAGAAAGGAGTCCTGCTGTGTGGGACCCAACCTTCTCTGGTCACATCACTGTATCATAGTGTATCAAATTCTTAACTGCTAAGCTAATATATCACCTGTTACAGTTCCAGGCGTCTACACATATAGTTCCTTCAGTTTGAAATCACTTCCTCATATTCTCTGTCTAGTAGTTTCACTTATCAGTTAAATTTTTACAGGTATATGATCCTCATTCATGAAGTTATATTAATTCCATTTATAGAATTGTTCTTTTCTCTTTTGTTTCTCAATTGGCACCTCTATTTATAAATGACCTCATAGTCAGCCATAATATTATATTATTTTTATACTAGCTATGATATCACAGCATCTTTAAGTACCAGATCTATGCTCTGTGCTTTGTTTTCAGTGCTTCACTTAATCCTCATACATTATATCTTCATGTTATTAATATAAAAACTGAGATTAAGAATAAGTTAAAATTTTTTCTTAATACCATACAATAAATTATGACAGAAAGAATAATCAACACTTCTTAGTCTTTTGCCTTAAGTCACCTCTGGTTAAAAGAAAAAATTATGCAAAATAGCTTAAATAAGAGAAATGGAGGTATGTCTTACAGAATTCATGGAAAATTTTGTACCTATGTCATAGAGAGACTGGGACAATTCTAGAGATTTTAGAGATAGGTGACTACAGACCTGTACCTTGATGCTCTACTCTTGATGTAATTCCATGATCAATGGACAATTTCTGTACTTCTTTGGAATGCTAGTCAAGAATAATACCAATAATTCTAAACCTTCTTAAAAAGTTGAGCAAGAATATATGAAGATATCTTTTAATTAACTATTCAGTACCTTATTATTTAATTAAAAGGTTTAATATTTATTCAGCATAAATTTTCTTGCAAGAAACCATTCATGTGTTTTAAGTAAAAAGAGAAGTGAGTTGAAAGTTGAGAAAGTCATCTCATGGAAGCCAGGCAGAAAGAGAATCTAAAACTCAAGGAACACGTATTCACCTGGGATATCAGAATGGTTCACTTTACTTACAGCATGCTTTTGTTACCATTTGCTTCGGATTCTCTATTGGGTTTACTTCTTGTAACTCTCTCCTGATGGATTTTCTTTGTACCTCAAACATAGTTTTGCATAACTTTCAGTTAAAATTTCTATCAGAGATGTCATTGCTTGAATATTTACTTTATGATTGAAAGAAATCGATACTTCCAATTTGGATTAGTTGTTCGCTTCCTGTCTAATCAGCTAGTGATGATGGCTTCATGACTCTCATTTCATAGAGAAGGCATTGTATGCCAGAAGTCTTCCCCAAAGTCATATTCCTATTTTCCTCCTAAGGGGTATACCAATAACATTCATACACACTCTGATTTATAATTATATTTATGATAAACATATTAGGTAATTTGGCTTTAATAGTTTAACTGGTAGGACTGTACAACATGTAATAAGAATTTTATAGCTTATAAAAAGAAAATAAGCATTTCTATCTTTTGATACATTTGTCCTAGTCTATTTTAAAATATGGCAAACCAATGATTTGCATCAGAATTATACTAAAGGAAAATGATTCAAACCTCAATAATGCTATTCTTATGTGCCTATGTAAGCCTGAAAAATCATTCCAGCATCATGATTGATGAATTTGCTGCTGTCTTAGGTTTTAAAATTAATTGGAGAGAAATGAAAATTGTAATACAACTAGCTTTGACTGCACAGCATGCCTCCTATGTAAATCACTAAGAGAACACCAGAAGAACTAAATATTTTTGAATGGCATAAAAAGAAATTTGAAACAAATGCAAAACTTTGGAATAAAATATATAGATGATTTTTTTTAAAGCTACTATGATATAATTATAAAATTTTAAAATAACTAGATATACTGTCCATAAAGATAATAGGGTTGGAATATATATGTTTAATTAGGTCAGTTTTTGCTAACTTTATCTTATGTTTAAGAATAATGGTTTTTATTTTAATTATAATATGATAGCCTACATTTTCTCAAGTCATATCTTGTCAACATTTCCAGAAGCAGAAAATCATTCTATGTTATTTTTCAGAGTGAATAGCTCCCTTTATAAAGTCAGGGTTCTAAACTCAGGTAGAGAACTGGTCTCCACTTTCTGGGCACAGACAACTCAACTAGATGTCCAGTTGATGCTCTGCTTAACTGAATTTCTGAAGGTAGCACAGAGACTTCTCTTTTGAAAGGATTATCTGTTTTGTTTTAGATCACTGATGTCAGTATTTTATCTGGATTATGCTAGGGATGCCTTGACTTTAAATATTGGACTCCAGGTTTGTTATTTCCCCAACCTTGGCCTGTCCTACAATATTTGTAATATTCCAATGACCAACATATTATTATTGATTTTACCATGGGTACCTTCTCTCTCTCTCTCTCTCTTTTTTTTTTTTTTGCTGAAAAAGCAGTTAACCATGAAAGAATATTTAAAAACTTCAGGGATATATATTTCCAAAGCACAGTAGAATTCCTGGTTCATATTTAGTCATTTTATACAAAATAGTTCATGATGCTTCAGGAGGATTACCTGATAGTCCATGTACTTGATATATTCCTGATGATAAAGAAATTAACATTTCAATGAATGTTTCTCTGTATGGTCAAAATCCATTATGAAACATGAGATTAATTTCCAGTCTAATCATGAGGAACACATCAAACAAATCCCAATTGATAGACATTTTACAAAATACCTGACCAGTATTTCTAAAATCATCAAAGTCATGAAAAACAAGCGAAGTCTAAGAAAATGCTTCAACTGAAAGGAGTATTAAGAGACATGGAAACTAAGTGTAATGTATTCTGAAAAACATTTTGGAACAGAAGAAGGATATTAGGTAAAAAATAAGGGAATCTCTATCAAGTATGTATTTCAGTTAATAATAATATATCTATATTGGTTCATTAATCATGAAAAGTGCAAGATTTTAATAATGGGAAACTTTGTGCTGTCTATATGTG